TTCCTCCCAAATTATAAGTATCTAAAATCCTTAATTCCCAAGGTCATCCCATAATATCACCTCTTTTTATCTACTCCTGCCCATAAATGTTCTATTAACTGTCTACCTCTTAATCTATCCATGGTACAAATTCCCCAATATTAAACTCTCTTTCATTTCCGCATCCCTGAAAATCTCAATACCTCTAATAGGAAACTGCTAAACAAATTTCATTCCACTTACTAATTGATATCACGAACCTGCGGCTCTGCTATGTAATGAAACCAAACAAATAAGAGCAAACATTTCAAATAGAATTTTGATTACCATTCTTTAATAAGGACTAGTAAGGTGTAAATGTGGTGATTAATTCAGTATGTTTCCTTATCTGTAAAATTGGCAGTTTAAAAGATTTATTCTTTAAATTATCTACCAACTCCAAAATTCTACAATTCTGTCTTAAAGTCTTAAGTTATTCAATCTACTATCAATCCTACCCAGAGCATTTTCCTGAATTCCAAAAACTCAAGAAATCACAGATTTCTAGGTTCTAGGTAAGGCTGTCATATGCCAAAGGAAAACCCAGTTAAGTGTGAAATTCCTACTAAATAAACAACTTCTATAAACAAACAAAACCTACCTTGCAAGGCATTAGAGTAACTAAAATGAATACTAGGCAAACAACCATAAAGAAACAAAAAGCTTACAACATGTATTATCTATAGTAGAAAAATCAGGGGACTGGAAATCAAAGAGCTGCTTCTAGGGGCAGTTCTGCCAAAAGCTACTAGTTTAAGCAAATGGCAAAATCTGAATATGATGAGATTGGACTAGACAATCCCAAATTAAAATAATTCTCAAGTCTCCTTTGATTTAAAAATCCAAAATTGATATAAAATTCCACCAAAGTGTAGTCAGAGACATTACTACACACACAACTGACAACAACGGCTTTAGCCTCTGCTAAATGAAATAATGGAATCTAGGTTATGCATTATTCTGGGAAAGTAGATACTGGAGGATTTAGGGGCTGTATAGCCTTTTAGTTGTCTGATATTTGAGTAGACCTTGCCTTTCACTTGTTTCTCTTTAATTCTCCATGTCATAAACTATAAAAACTAAGTGATCAACATAAACTTTAAATCACAATTTTCTCAAATGGGAAAACATATTTACGAGGGCCCAGAAAACACTTAAGATTCTCTCCTTGGATTTGAATAGGATCTTTCCTAAAACGCAAGTATAACATTGATATACGATTATGATTATGGTGCTGTAAATTCTCAGATTACTCACTTTTTAGATAATTCTCAGCAAAATTTTAATCCAAGTTGGCTTCCTCCTGCTACCTAGAGCATTTACCAGTCACCACCTTCTACCACTAGTAACCATTTATTTTAATATGAGCCTAAATAAAACACAATCAGGAAAATAAGCCTACAAAAACATGATAAAATACATTCCAAGTAAAATGTTTGGAACATTTAGCATTTTGGGATAATATGATGGAAAGGAAGGTAGGTCTTTATAGTGAATGTTCTATTTTGATAGAAAAACTATGTCTTAACATTCTACCAGGGAGCTATAGACACTTAAGGATAATCTAGTCTATTGTAAAGGTCTTCAGACCATACACTCTAGTCAGAAAGAACTTTATAATGTATTTTGCTCAAGTTATGTCAATTTTAAAACCATATATTTAAGCCATTATATGTATCAGATCATTTATTGTTCACTTGTAAAACTAATTTTATAAACACATAAATTGTAAATTTCTATTACAGTTAATGTTTCATCACTACTGTGAGAGGGCATCCTTAAAAATCAATAGTAAGTCCTATTGGTATAAGTCCTTTTTGATTATTCTTCTCAAACCAGTAAAGTTTTGACATTAGCCATGATTATTTTATCACTTTCTATGTATGTTTTAGAAAGAAATAGTGAACATATCCACTCCACTCTATTCTTCAGGATAAAAGTAGCTTTTCCAAGTACAACAGATCAACTAACTTGATCATCATTTTTAGGCAATGATTGAACTTTTTATTTCACAGAGCATAATCCATCATTTTTTAAATTTGGCTCCTTAGATTATAAAGCTAAAGATGCTGATTCTCATGTAAAATTTTTAAAAAGTTGTTACTGTTTCATTTTTTATTCTAAGGAACATCAAACTAACTACCTGTACATTTATAAACTTTGTCAAAGTTTTCAAATGTCACTCATTTTCACGATTCTAAATCCACTTGGGATTCTAGGATAAAACCTGTGAATGCTCACTACATACTGAAGATCAGAAAAAAAAATCTAGTAAGTTTACTAAACTGCAATTAGGATTTGGACCCAAATGCAAATGTGCACACCATAAAATTTCCTATACGTTCTATAGATGTAGGTAATTTATTAACTATATTATTCTCTAAATATATATTATGTATTTAATTTGATTTAATCACATTCCATAGGTTGAATTTGGGGGTTGTTTTTTAAAGTGTTGAGAGTTTAGTGTTTATTTTTGTAATCCAACAACTTTATCCAAAAATGCAGAAAATTTTTCTGGCTGGCCAGGAGGATAACATTTCAGTGTTGATAAGTCCATTGACTGTAACAGCCCAGGAAGCGTGCTAAAACAAAAGAAGAAAAGTATTAGGTAACATGGGAGAAAATTCCATACTTCATCTGCTGCCCACTTGATGAATGAATCTAACTTCCTAAAATATAGTGGTACTTTGAAAAACTACATATGTGAATTTTTATATATTATAAATATACACACTAGGATTATTAAAGCAATACAAAGAGTACTATAAAATGTCAATATAAGCAGATACCTTATCTCCAATGTCAACTGAAATATCTGAGAAATAGTTCATGAAAAATGTGTTCACATGGCTTTGTAATACTTCTCAGAACGGGTGTATTTAAACTGAAACATAATGCATTCATGAAAACAGAATTTAAAAACTGAAACCAAAGGTAATAGCTGTCAGACAAGATAATAAGCTGGGGAAACTACTAGACCATGCATGAAGATTGTGAAATAAACTTTGCCAGTAATTTACTATCATAATTCATATATAATTAAACCATATACTACACCACCACGTTTGCTGGAAATAAGGTTTCAAACATAAAACTATTACTTCAAAAATGTATTTAAACCACTTAAATTAAAACAAACATACAACCACCCAGCCTAGGTTTGGGGAAAATAAATGATTTACCTAAAATGAAAATATAACCAATTATAGATTCTTACTGCTTTCATGGGTTTGACTTTCTTGAAATTAATATAGAAAAAAGACATCTAAAACTGTTAAAAATAAAATAAAATAATTTGGAGACTTGTACAGTTTCCTTCCTTTTCAGCATGAGTAAACAGTCAGGATGTGTTTAGGAAATCAACGTTTTCCTTTTAATGTACTAACATAAAATCAATGCTGATTTAACATTTAGAATGAAAATACTCATCAAAAGTATCTGGAAAAATTGACTTGCATAAACCAGTTAGTAAGGTAAGTTTATTCCTCTTTAATCTAGCTTCTCTCCTGACTCACTAATAATTCAAGACTAGCTTCTATATTACACAGCCACCCTGACATTCCCTCCTCTCCATCATTACAGTGTTAAGGGCACCAACAATATTACTCCTGAAACAATCAATGAATCTGCTTCCTCTCAATGAGAACAGGAATTTTTGTCTGTTTTGTTCACTGATGTATACCAAGTGCCTAGAATAATGCCTGTCACATAGAAGTGCTCAATAAATATTTAATAAATGAATAAGTATTTACTGAGTACCTAAGAGACAGAAGCAGTAAAACTAAAAGAAAAGCTTATTATGCTCTAGCCAGTTTCTTCTCAGGTTTTTTAAAATTAATTTCAATTTACTATAATATAAATATGTAATATATATATGTATATACACATACATAGATATATAGTAATTCTATGCGGCATTTACTTCTTGAAACACCAAACTAGGATAGGTCTTAAAGCCAAACAATTGGGAATTACTGACCTGGCCCTTTGGCAAGCTTCTAGTGTGTCAAGGAAGTACTAATGGAAAACAAACCAGCAATTTTCTTCATCCTTCTATTACGATGATCAGTTCCTGTTGAATTCTAATATACTTGTAGAAAATAATACTCCTACTATAAAGTAATTTCTCTGCTTAAAATACTTCAATGGCTTCTCAATAAACATAAATAAAATCAGAACTCTTACATAAGCTACCCCACCCAGCTTCATCTTCTATTATATTCCCTTGCTCACTGTGCTCCTGCCACACCAACCTCCAAGTTCATTCCTTACTGAGGCTTTTGCACTTGCTGTTCCTACTGGCTCTTTCTTATAATTCGGATCTCAGATCAAAATGTTAGGTACTCTGCCAAGCCTTCTCTGACAATTCTAATCAGTCTTCAACACAGCTACCACATTACCCTGTCTTACTTCATAGTACATTTCACTACATGAAATATCTTGATCATTTATTTGTGAACTTGTTTACCATCAAATTTCCACCACTAGAATTAAGCACCATGAGAACAGGGACTTTATCTCGCATTTACTACTGTATCCACAGCACCGAAAACAGTGCCTGTTATATATTCGGTGTAACTGAATAAAGGAAAGAGTACATTTAATTTAGGGATTCCAGTCGATTCACTGTAGGCAAAACTTTTAACTAAAATGAGCAAATGCCTTCCTTGAATAATGAAAATCTATATTCAGTGTCTCAGAAACTTGCTTACCTAAACACACATACACACTCTCTCTCAGATATTCACATATGCAAAGAAATAGCCACAGATACAGATAGAAATATAACACAGAGCTCACAAAGTGGGAAACAAACAAATGGGAGGGTTTTAACTGAGAAAATAAAAATGTTCGGTAAATGAGAAGAGGCAGAAGAGACAGATGGGTTAGGTAGGTGGATAAGATGAACAGCAAGTGGATAAGACAAACAGCAAGGGAGGAATTAAGGCAAGAGATTAAAAATAATGTCTCTAGTATACCTGCAGGTACAATAGAAGAGATGACCCTCTTTGTGTAGCTGTTTTGCCAGTTCCAGCTGATGATTGTTCATCAGCTTTTCGTTTATAACTACCACGAGTGGCTTGCCTTTTTCCAGAGTCTCCAAACAGCTTCCTGCACCTACAAATATAAATCAAATTTGTTTAACACAATTTAATGTAAGTTACAGTGCCCAAGAAGCTTTATAGCTAGAACACAGAAGTTAAAATACTTGGCTGACAGAACTACAAACCGGGTCTTTCAATTATACATTTAAAATGACGAGAGTATAGTCATCAGTTGCTCTCTTAAAAAGTGTTGGACACTTTGAAAAATACATTACTTTATCACTGATGATGACATTATGGCCTATGATTCAGTGCTATGCCACTTGTTCTCTAGTATCAATGACCCTCGACTTATGATGGAGTATAATCTCATCATAAGTTGAAAACAGGCTGGGTTGAGGGGCTTAACCCTTGGGAGGCCAAGGTGGGAGGATTGCTTGAGCCTGGGAGTTCAAGACCACTCTCAGCAACATACAGAGACCTTGTGTCCACTAAAAAATAAAAATAAAAACAAAAACAATAAGGCATGGTGGCAGTTGTCCCAGCCACTGGGGTGCCTGAATCCAAGAGTTGAGTCCAAGAGTTGGACAAGCTCCCTGGTGAGCTCAAGTCACAGGGGAGCTTGAGTCCAAGAGTTGGAGCTTGCAGTGAGCTATGATTGCACCACTGCACCCCACCCCGGATGACGGAGTGAGAATCCATCTTGAAAAAAGAGAAAAAGAGGCATTTGAAAATATTCTAAGTCGAAAATGCATTTGATACACATAACCCACCAAACATCACAGCTTAGCCTAGCCTACCTGAAACATGCTCAGAACACACTTACATTGCCTATGGTTGGGCAAAATACTCTAACACAAAACCTATTTTATGATAAAGTGTTGAATATCTCATGCCATTTATTGAATACTGAAAGTGTAAAACAGAATGGTTGTATGCGTACTCGAAGAGCGGTTTCTACTGAATGCGTATGTGTATTGCTTTCACACCACCATAAAGCTGAAAAACTCTAAGTGAAACCACTATACGTTGGCCCATCTGGAGTATGCTTTGGGCATGGCCTTGAATCCAAATAAGATCCAGGTTTGACATACTGTATGTGAAACTACACTTCATTTCTATTCAAACCCAAGTAGCAAAGCAAGCCTACAGTAGAGACAGGAAGGCATCAATAATGAAAAACCATGACCACTTCTTATGGGTTTACATGTGAGGTGCTATCCCAGAAATAGTCAAGGATAGATCTCCATGAATATGCAAATATACAATATTAGGATCAATTCAATTTTGAAATCTAAAATCATCTAGGTATTTTAAACGGGTGCAAGGATATTGATAAGTGAGTAGATAAATCATTTTTGGGTATCTTATGCAAGGAAGGTAGTTAAGAACATTAACTCCAGCACCAGATTGTCATCTGTCCACCACTTCTTGGCGGGACAAGTTACTTAACCACTCTTGTGTCCCAGTTTCCACATGTGTAAAATGGAGATACTAACAGTACTTAGTTCACAAGATTGTTTAAAAGAGTAAAGTTAATATAAACAAAGCATTCAGAGCAGTGCCAAAGGCTCTGTTATCTCCCAGGAGATACATTTTTAATAACCAATCTGTTGGTAATGTCTATTTCTAAAAAAGTTTCTCTCCTCAATCTAGACTTTTTAAAAAACCAAGAAACATCATCCCTCACAGCAGTCAAAAGTGCATTGCTACCGAAAAGCAGTTTTTCTGAATGTCCTAGAAGTCTAATTAACTAGATCATCAGGGTGGTTCTCTTAAGAGGAAACAATTTACACAGCATGTAGCTGTTACTATTGACTGGACTCATTTCATTCACATTGAAAAGAAATATAAACAATCTTTCAATACCAACGTCTCCATGACCAATCCAACCAATCAGCAGGCAGAACACTCCTTTAGATCTAAGCCGAAGTACTAATGTCAAGTAACAAATGTAACAATTTGTTACACTTCATCCGGTAAATTATTTTGTCTGTTTAGAGTTTCTTATTGTAAAGGTGGGCTACAGTGATTAATTTCCCATTCTTCTCTCATCCCAAAATACTAAGTTCTCTCCAATAAAGTTCTCAATTGTCATATTCAAATAAGTTGTGTATTCAAAAGGGCTACAGTAAGTTCAGCTAGTGATTTCATTTTACCTTGAAAAGGTTGAAGTGTCAGTTCCTTATTGGAGGGAGAGCATCAGGAAAAAATAGCTAAAGGATGCTGGGCTTAATACCTAGGTGATGGGTTGATAGTGCAGCAAACCACCAAGGCGCACGTTTACTTATGTAACAAACCCGCAAATCCTGCACATGTACCCCAGACATTTTTTAAAAAATTAAAAGATCCAGCCCTGAGATTCAAGGCACCTTTACCTGCGTGACTAATAACAAGATCAGCTTTCTGAATATCTTCTTTCAAGGAATCCTTGTACCTGTAAACATCCAGAGTAAATGACTCAGTACTGAAGGGTTCAGGTACCACCGTTCCTCTACCAATTTGCAGGATAAGTCGGCTGTAACCAAGGCTCTCGATTTTCTGAAACGGGAAATTAGAACATGCGGGCTTTTAAACCGGCAATGTAAAACAAAGCAGGAACCACCACCACTCCTAAAGTTTGGCGTTAAGATCGGAGCACGGCCGCCAAAGGGCCTACCTGTGGCCGATTTCACTTAGTTTTCAAAACTAATGTATTTTCCGGTCTGGGGCCCGACGAGGAACCTCTCGAGCACACAAGAATCTAAACGACCCAGCTCGCAGCGTCCCGCTAAAGCCAGAGCAGGAAAAGACTTTGGAAAAAGTAGTCGCAAACTCCGGGGGAACCCAGGGACTACACGTTCTGCCTCATTTGCTGAACTGGGAGAACCGTGAGCCCTGAGGGGAAGACGCGCGCTGAGGAGAAGAACCGCGCGGGCTCCCGGCAAGCGCTGCGGGGAAGGATCCGGGCTCTGAGGTGAGCTCTGTGGAATGAGGCTCCGGCGCCAACGCGCGATCCACAGGGAGCCTGAGGAGAAACTGCCAAGCCCGGGCTCAGAGGGGCGGAGCGTTGGAGGAGGGGCGGAGGACGCGGAGGCGGAGAATAGACCGCAGTGGAATCCCGGGAAAGGAGCCGAAGAAATGACGGAAAGGAGCAGCCGGGGTAACGGGAAAAGGAGACAGGAGACCCCGAGTAGCCGGGGAGCCAGAAGAGAGCCCCGCTGGGCGTGGGGAGGAGACAGCTAAGCGGCAGCGGCACCTGTGGTAGAGTTGCGGGGGTTTCTTTCCGAGCGCGGCGGTCAGGCAAGGCTACCAAGGCTGTCACTAAGGCCGGAGGCGGCGGATGGTAAGCCAAGTCGCCACCTACTCGCCTCCCTGACTCACTTGTAGACTGTCGGGCGCTGACACACACGCAATGAGGTCGTCAAAGCTGGTGGTCCCTACGGTAACAAACACGCACTTCATCCCGCGGGTTCTGCGACCCTGGATCGCAAGGGCCGGATGTGACGTAAGAGAGGCCACGCACGTTGCCGCGCCGCTTTCTGTGAGGGAGGCGGAAATCCGTAATGGCCGCCAGAGAGCGGCGGGCCTGGGGCTGTGTCACCGGTTGGGTGGGGCCAAAGACTATTGGTGGCCTAGCTGTCAGTCACTATTCTAAACCCTTTATGTGTAGGAGCCAGTTCTTGAGACCCCTCACTATAAGGGAATGGGGAATTGCCAAATGTAGTTAACTTTTTCAAAACTAGTGGGTGAAAAAAACGAACACAATATTCAAAGCATTGTGTTGGTGTTATTGCGTGGGTACCACAATCCTTTAATGACAGACAAGTTTGGGATTTTTTTTGTTTGCTGTCATGTTTTGTCAAGATACATTTTAGAGATGGTTTTACTTCGAGTTGGCGAAGGGGTTATGAAAAAAGTGCTTTACCAGGTGCAGTGGCTGTAATCCCAAACTACTGGGAAGAATTGCTTGAGCCCAGGAGTTTAAGACAAGCTTGGGCAACATAGCAAGACCCTCATCTCTAAAAATGTTATTTTTTAATCCGGGTGCCATTGCTCAAGTCTGTAATCCCAGCACTTTGGGAGACCAAGGCAGGTGTATTACTTGAGGTCAGAAGTTCCAGAGCAGCCTGGGCAACATGATGAAACCCTGTCTCTACTAAAAATACAAAAGTTAGTCAGGTGTGGTGGCAGGTGCCTGTAATCCCAGCTACTCAGGAAGCTGAGGCACAATAATTGCTTGAGCCCAGTAGGCAGAGTTCCCAAGATCCTGCCACTGCACCCCAGTCTGGGTGACACAGAATGAGACCCTGTCTCAAACAAACAAAAAAAATTAATTAGCCCCCACCTGTGGTCCTAGCTAGTCAGAAGGCTGAGGCTGCAGTGAGCAGTGAGCCAGGACCACACCACTGCACTCCAACCAAGATGACAGTGAGACACCATCTAGAAAAAATAAATTTTTTTAAAAGCCTAAAAAATAAAAGACATCTTACAAGATATGGGGTCTGGCTCTGTTGCCCACGCTGGATTCTAACTCCTGGGCTCAAGTGATCCTCCTGTGGCAGGCCATATCTCACTAAGTCAGGTCTCCATAACAGTTGTTTCAGTACTGAGTAGTGAAGTTAAATATTAACAGCTGAAAAAAAAAAGTGAGTGCCTTTATACAAAGGCCAGAATGTAACAGAAGCCCACCAAGAGTTTTGCCTAGGCCTTTCCTGGGCCTTAAAGCATGACAAAATAACAAAGGAATTCTTAACATGACCCATTTAGGATTAAACGAGTTTAATTGTGGGTCTGAAGAAACTCCTCAGGCCTCCACAAACAAGTTTATTGGGAGTCTGAAGGAACTCCCCAAACCTCTGTGATTTAGCAGAAGACAAGATAAGGGTAGTCACACCAGCACCTGGACCCATTTAGAGTAAGTAAATGTACTGAGACTCCAGAGGAAGGTCTTCAGGATTCAGACCTTAGTTATAGATTGAAAGAAGTTAATCACTTATGTCTTTAGATGAATGCACACTTATATGTAGACATATAGTTTAGAAGGTATGTAATCTCTGGAAAACATTGTAATTTTGAGTTGATCTGGTGATAATTTCCAGGCCTTCTCCCTATAAACAGTTACAGAAATAAAAACTCTCTTCTCACCACCCAGTTCATCTACATCTTGTCATTGGGTGGTGAGAAATCGCAGCCCGACTCTCAGTTTAGTCCAGGAACACTCTCGCCTCTGCCTCCCAAGTAGCTGGTACTATAGGTGCACCAAAAGTGACTTTTAGAAAATCACTCTAACTTGGGCTCTTCTACCAACTGTGGTTTTCAGAAAACCAGGGCCCTTTAGGGTCTCTTGGAAGCTGCAGTTAACCTCCATTAGCAAGCATGACTTGTAAAATAGAGGTGATAAAGCTTGAAGCCTAGATCTATAATCTGTTGAATTATTCCACTGAACCATTTAAATGTAAAATTACATATTAGCACGGCAAAGTACCACAGATAAATTACACTTAGGCAGGCAGGTACAGGAGAGGTTATTTCTAAAAACGCTCCTTTTTTCTTCTACCACCATCATACCATTGTTAAGATAATTGCTCATTCTATCTCCTTCTAATGTTTTATGTATTTCCTATTTAAATTATCACCTTAGCTCATATTTGTGCTTTGCCCTGTCTGGATATATATAGAAGAGAGGCTGTGAGAAGAAATTATTTTCAGGAGAAAAAGGATTGGAGGTAAATTGGGCCTAGAACATCACCTAAGACCCTTGGGCCTATTTCTACAGGATGTTTCCTTTAAATCTTATAGCTGACGCAGTTGTCCTTTTGAGGAGTGACATGCTGTTGTTCCCTTTTTTCATACCAAATTTCATAAATTATGAAATGACATTAACCCAGTAACCATAGTGTATGAAAAAACAGCAGCTGCATCCCCTGTGTTCCCTGAGAGGGCAGCTCCATATGAGCATAATGGCCTCCAAGCTAAGGCAGTTCCTGTAACCAAAGCTGAAACACAGTGGCAGGAAAACTCACCAGCTGCCTTTATGAAAGTGACATCCAACAGAGACTTCTGGTTGGGACTTGGAAACGACCCAGTCAGGACTCAGCTGTTTTCAACTAATGGAAACTAAATACTTTTGAGTTATTTATTTGCATTCACAGACTTGATTATGGGCTGGGACGAGAACTTTCCCTATTTAAGCCAGACCCACTCTTTGTTCTTTGGAGCACACTCCGTTTACAATGGAGGCTGTGTTTCCCCATCTGCAGATCTCCCGCTTTTAGGTTGAGGTCCCCGAGACTTTATCTTCTCTAGGGAGCTTGTTCACCTGGCTCTATTGGTCCTGTAGGGCACACTCACACTGTGTGGAGTACATTTGCATTTGCAATGTACTTGTGCTTGGTGGAGTATGCTCACATTTCAAGTTTTGTGGGGACACTGATGCTTTGGTTGCACCCAAAGGCATGCCTTCATTACAGTGCTATGGGTAACCCATGTTCTAAGATAACAATCTTCAACCAGCTACCTTATGGTTCACTGATGACTTTTATACTTAAAACCTATGTAGAAAATTCTTATGCCTATTTAAAGCTCTGGATAAAATTAACCCAGGGTGATTTAAAACTTTTTTGGCTACAATTGGGAACTTTCTGTACCCCTAATCAAATTTATTTATGCATACAATTAGAACAAAGAGGAATCTAGGCCTCTCAAAGAAAATACGAGGCTTTATTTAACAGGTACTATGAAAACTCCAAATGCAATCAAGAATTTCAAATTGCCTTCTTGAGAGAAACTAATTCTGAACTCCCTGTCTCCAAAAACTTAAAAATCCTCCTAGCCCAGATTCTGCTCCCAAGAGGGACTCTGTAACCCTTTGTTCTTCTCCTTTCACTCCTTCTGCACTACCTCTACTTTATTCTCTTCTGCTACTACCTTCTTCACTTTCTGAACTTCCTTTTTTCTCTTCACTGTCTATCCCAGGCACACTACCCATAACCCCTCAACTCCTCTTATTGCCCCATTTAAAATAAGTGAAAATGCAAAGGGAGATCAGACCATTTCTTGCATTCCTTGGTCTAAATCTGAACTCTTGGCAATTGGCCTAAAACTGACTTCCTTCAGTTTGAATGCCACTTTGGTTTAATCATGAGCACATACTGGCCCAGACTCACGAAAATCTATTAACTAATTCACATGCTGGGCGTCAATGTCATTGGTCAAACATGTATATGCCTAAATAAATGGATAAAACCTCTAGAGGACTTCCATTTCAAAAGGGAAAAGGCCATAATAAAAGCAAAGAAAATAACCTGTTATTTGTTAAAGGTCATTCCAGTATTTTTCCTCTAGAAAATTAATGGGAAAGCCATTCAATGATTCACTCAAAAGAAAGATGAGTCTGTCTTAGATTATTATGACTGGTTCAAAATGGCTTTCCACGCTGGGCGTGGTGGCTCACACCTATAATCCTAGCACTTTGGGAGGCTGAGAGGCAGGAGGATCACTTGAGGTCAGGAGTTTGAGAGCAGCTTGGCCAACTATGTCTCTACTAAAAATACATTTAGTAGAGATGGCAAAACCCTGTCTCTACTAAAAATACAAAAATTAGCTGGGCATGGTGGTGCATGCCTGTAGTCCCAGCTACTCAAGAGGCTGAGGCACAATAATCACTTGAGCCCGGGAAGCAGAGGTTGCAGTGAGTTGACATGGCAGCACTGCACTCCAGCCTGGGCAACAGAGCAACACTCTGTCTCAGAAAAAAACAAAAAAAAGGCTTTCCTGCAAAATTGTGGTATCAAGGACTTAACGGAGGATACCAGTACTTTTTAATTCCAGTTTTCTTTTGGATCTTAACCAGACTTTTAATGCCTTAGTCAAACAACATAACCTCAATTGGACCTTTAAGAAACCCCACAAAATTGCCTCTTTGGCAAACTATCTCTCTAAAACTTCATAAAGAAACAAACAAAGAATAAATAAGACACCTGATTATTAGGAAAAGACCACCACGCTCATGGCTCTACATATTCAGCAATTTAAAAAACAATCACAGAACCAAAATTCTCGCAAGATGTTGGGAAACAAGATCTGTTTCTTTCACAAGGGCTTTGATCACTACAAAAGACGTTATGGAAAATACAGATGATGGCTTCAGAAGAACCCAGATAAAGCCAAGGAAATGCCAGCTTTTTCTTCATTACAAGAGTAGGGATGCTTCAGGGAGATAAGGGCAACATTCTTTCTTCTGTGAACAAGCTGGAGAAAGTTGGTTTGCAAATAAATAACAAATTGATCCAGGCACAGATAGATACTGTTGCTACCCTCTCAGTGCTAAACTCCAACTCTTTTTCAGATCGCCTTCCCAAGAGTAGTCAAACCACCCAAATGATCGGGGTCCCCAGCCAGACAATGATAGTCAAGTCAAATCCAATTCCTTATCAGATAGGGCCCATCATTGGATACCATAGCTTCCTCCTTCTCCCCTCCCTTCCCATACGTTTATTAGGAAGGAACTTCCTTGAAAAGAGTCAAGCCAACATCATTTACTCAAAAGGGAAATGTGTTATATTAGGAATAACCTCACCTGAGACCTCTGCTTTGTTTTGTTTTGGTTTTAACAAGGGAGTCTTGCTGTGTCACACAGGCTGAAGTGTAGTGGCACAGTTGTGGCTCACTGCAACCTTGACTTCCTAAGCTCAAGTGATTTTCCTATCTCATCCTCCTGAGTAGCTGGGATCACAGGCAGGCGCCACTGCACCCAGCTAATTTTTTTTACATACAGAGACGAGGTTTCACTATGTCGCCCAGGCTGGCCTTAAACTCCTGGGCTCAAGCGATCCTCCCGCCTTGGCCTCCCAAGGTGCTAGGGTTACAGGCATGAATCACTGCCCCCAGTCTAATTCCTCTACTTCTGACCTCACTTATGTGTTTCCCTGGTGAGCTGTCCAGCCATTTCTGAACAACCTACCTTAAGGGAATTGTTTGAGACCCTATGGGCAAAAATGAATACCAATATCTGTCTTTTTCACTTAGCACCACCTGTGTTCATTCAGATAGATCCTAACAATTCTCTTCTAAATTTGAAACAATACCTTCTCAATTCTGAGGCCTTATCAGGCATAGAATCTATCATTGATTATTTTATTTCTAAGGGACTCATCCCCTGTACTATCCCATGCAATACCTGTTTCACCCATCTAGAAACATAATGGGAGAAGATTGAGGTTTGTTCAAGAACTTAGAGCTGTAACCAATATTGTTATTCCTGATACCCCATTGTGTCTGATCCACATATACTCTTAAATAATATGCCTTCTGACACCCAGTATGTTTCTGCTTTTGACCTCTGTGTTGCCTTTTACAGCATCCCTGTTTACCTGAAAGTCAGTTTCTTTTCACTTTAATGTGGAGAGGCCAACAATATACATGGACAGTACTTCCTCAGGGGTATCCTGAGAGCCCTATCTATTTTTCCCAGATTATTTGAGCAGACCTGGAACAGATAACCTTTTTGTGAGGTTCAACCCTTTTACAATATATTGATGATATGGTTTTATGTTGTCCCTCTCAAAACACCTTGCTGACACTCTTCATTTTTACTGCCTGCTCACCCTCAGTAAATGTCATAATAGATTGCAGTAAGCAATGGTTAAATTGGGAGAAAAAGAAAATAGTATCTCATAGGAGGTCAGTTGGCTGGCTGAAAGATGTTGGGTTACGTATAAAGGTCAGTTTGTCTCTGCAGACTGCTAAGGAGGATTGGATGTCTATTTGTCCCTTCTCATAATCTTGTTTGGGAGTTAAATGTGCAATTTTGTTTCATCCATATCCCTCTTTCAAGATCTGAAACTGCTATCTGAGATGTAAAAAGAAAATAGTATCTCATAACCTAATTTTTCTCTAAAGAAAAATTATAATTTTGTCAAGATTTAATTAAATTCCTTGGATATGTATTAATTTCCTTAAGGCTAAGCCTTGATCCCTCTCACGTTCAGGTCATCTTTTTCTTCCCCTTACTTGTTACAAAAAGGCAGCTCAGAGTATGTGGATTATTGTAGAATGTGAACCCCAATTTCTCTCTAATGCTACAACCCTTATATTTCTTAATTAAAGCCTCCTTCCCCCATTGCCTTGTATGGATTACTGATGGTGAACAAGCTTTCCATGTAATATGCTCAGCCCTTACATTTACTTTGTTTTTATCTTAATTGTCATAGCTTTAGGAATTCTCTGTATTTTAGACAGTTTTTTAGACATGCTAAAATTTAAAAGGGTTCCCAAGGAGGACAGTTCCAGGCAAACATCCTGTTTGTGCCTCTGAGCTAAGGCAGTTCCTGTAACCAGTAACTGGAGCTGAGACACAGTAGCAGGAAAACTCCCATCAGCAGCCTGAAAGGAGCATCCAACAGACTTCGGGTTCTGGCTCGAAAACTACCCATTCAGGACCCAGCAGTTTTCAACCAATTCAGGCTGAATGAGTTTGAATTCTTCATTTGCACATACGGACCTCATTGAGGGCTGGGGTGGGATCTTTCCCAATAACATGCTTTCAGTTTACATCAGAGGCTGTGATTTTTTTTTAAGAAAATAAAATTCTTCTTTATTTTTCCTTTGCAGACCTCATGGTCTTTTGTTAACAAAATTAATGATACAGCGAAACTACAGTTTTATGACAATAAATATAGAAAGGCCATGGTTGAATAATAAAATAATCACAATCATATTTTCTGCCCAAATAGAGAATAAAATCTGAATATTTAGTGAAATATAAAGACAAAAATATTCAAAAGTATTACCTGTCCTAAAAAAAAATCCAGGACTTAAGCTTCCTATACACGAATCAGAGACTACAGTGACTCATTTCCTCTTAATTATACTGCAAAGCACAATAAGTTACAGAGACCATTTTTTATATGTGGGATAATAAGTACATTAACTATTAAACTAAAACCCTAAAAATAGTTTACAAAACTACTTCTAGCTGATACATTAGAACAAAAGCAGAATAGATCAACATGTCCTAGATATCACACCACCCCACTACTCTAGCTAAATAACCTCAAAGAAATCATTTAACCTATCTATCTTGAGCCTCAGTTTTCTCATTTATAATGAAAGTAATAGATTCAGATTTGGTCTTTTAACTATACACTGTATGACTCTAAGAGCAAATATTCTGCTGTTTGATAACAAAGGAAAAAAATTATATAAATCCATATTTAATGTTAATGTCATACACTGATTATATTGATTGTTATAACTAACATTTGTATGGCACTTTGCAGTTTTATTAAATGTATTCATGTTAATCATCATATTTTAATCACACACCTTCCCTATGGAGTAACAGAATGGGAGAAGTTAAGCTGTGTGCTCAAGATTACATGGCTAGGAAGCAACTTACTGAAGAAGTACAGCTCTTTTGCTGGTTAAGCCTGGACATGTCTTTTCTTAGCTCCCAGAGGTAAATCTAAGCAACCAATGAACTTTAACTTTGTATACTCTGTTTCATTAGTTATTCTCCTTCCTGAGATTTTTTTGGGGGGTTATTATTTTATTTCTAATTTATACATGACCACTAAGTTATTCCCACTTGGTAGCAGCAATAGCTGGGAATCTGGTATTATGGCATGTTTATTCAGTCTCTGTATTAATGGGTTTTTTTTCTTTTTTTTTTAAATCTCTCTTTTTTTTTTCCTTTATTTTTGCATTAATGGGTTATATGGATTAATAGTAATGTATTATCGAGGACTATTTCCTGTTAGGCAAGAGAAAACAGAATTCCTTTATCAGTTTTGTTCGTCTGTCAATTTTGTCTTCAAGTAAATTAAAAATTTATACCACCGGGAAGAAGAATAGCTTTTTGCTATCAAGATTGGCAACTATTTGTGTTTTTATGTTTACTCTTGATCTGTGGCTGAAGTTATATATCTGAAGTTATAAGCTATCTGTGAATTTCTGAGAATTCAATCTCTGCATTAATGGGTTATATGGATTAATAGTAATATATTATAAAGAACTATTTCCTGTTAGGCAAGAGACAACAGAATTCCTTTATTTTGTTTGTCTGTCAATTTTGTCTTAAATTAAAACTTTATGCCACCAGGAAGAAGAATAGCTTTTTGATATCAAGATTGGCAAATATTTGTGTTTTTATGTTTACTCTTGATCTGTGGCTGAAGTCATATATCTGAAAACATAAGCTCTCTGTGAATCTATGTGAGTATCATTCAGAAAGACCTTTAACTCTCATTGAATCTGTAAAATTTTTTCCTATATTAAATTGGTCTATGACCATACCACCCTGAATGTGCTTGATCTCATTTGATCTCATGAAGCTAAGCAGGGTGGGGCCTGGTTAGTACTTGGATGGGAGACTGTCACAAAATAAGGTGCTGATGGCTTTCAAAGAATTTTTTTATATATTAAAAATTTTTTAAATATTAAATTAAAGGAGCACTGTTCTGATGAGAGAACATAAGTACATATATGAATTAAATGTTGTTCCCAGAAAATAAACAAATTGACTTATAATACTTTAAATGTACTAGACTTTAACAAAACATCTCTTACAGAAACTAACTCAGAAACCAAGAATGCATATTTAACATTATTTTGACAATTATGGTTTTTTCCGATTTCTTAGTGTAAAGGATAATACAAGCATATATTGTATTTTACTAAGATTTATTTTTCCTAAACTTGTATAGGTTTACTGATCAAATAAGTTAACATGATTCCAAAAAATGTTTATGATTATAAAAGATGTAAAGTTGTAGTCAACAAAATGAAATCATTACTCTGACAAATTTTGTATCAACAGCTATTATACTTTGAAGTAGGCCGGATTAAAGATTATTTCCAAGATCTTTAAGCAATTCAAAATCGTGGACTGACATTAAATTGAGTTAATGGGTAATCATTGAAAAGAAATAATTTTATTTTCTAAGTAAAATAGAATATTAAAACACTGATTTAACCTAAACATAATTTTAAATTTAAATGTTTTTGTTTCTTATTTTTAAGTGCTGTGAAGTGGCTAGCTATATCTTGGAGTCATGTCATGAATGCATTTATTTTTGACACTTCAGGAAGTTATGAAAAGATTTTGTGTGACCATAGAACGTTCTGTCATATGTATTCTTAACCTCTGCTACTCTATTAAAATGGTTGTATATGCCAGACAGTTTATTTTCCATCCGGCTCTTTTCTCTTTAAAACAGAAATTAGTTACTTTGGTTAAAAGTTGTAAGTACTCTCCTCCCTGGGGGAAATAGGGGAGGGACGTTGGGGGGTGGGGAGCTGGGGAGAGGGAGACAGAGCAAGGGGAGAGATGCCAGATGTAGGTGATGGGGAGGAAGGCAGCAAATCACACTGCCACGTGTGTACCTATGCAACAATCTTGCATGTTCTTCACATGTACCCCAAAACCTAAAATGCAATAAAATAAATGGGGAAAAAAAAAGTTATAAGTAATATGGGTGGTTTAAACTCTTCAAGTAATAACACTGACAGAGAATTACAACAGTATATGTCCTTTTGTTTTTCAAGGGAAAAAAGTAGGATTTTCCTAAAGTGGATTGTTGGTTTCCAGACCCTTTTATACTTTTAAAATTTATTGAGAACCTCAAAGAGCTTTTGCTTATGTGATTTATAATGTAAGTTATAATTATAGATATTTACCATATTAAAGAAAAAAGGAAAATTTTTAAATATTCATTGAAAAATAGCAACGATGAACACATTGCATGTTGACATAAATGATCTTTTTTTGTTACAGTGACTATTTTTCAAAACAAAATTTTATGAGAAGAATATAATTGTTTCACATATTTGCTTATCTCCTATTATCTGGGCTAGTAGAAGACAAGACAGCTATATCCTTATATTTGCTTCTACTTATTTTATTTTTTGAGACAGAGTCTTATTCTGTCACCCAGGCTGGAATGCAGTGGCATGATCTCAGCTCACTGCAACTTTTGCCTCCCAGGTTCAAGCAACTCTCCTGCCTCAGCCTCCCGAGTAGCTGGGATTCCAGGCTTGCACCACCATGCCCAGCTAATTTTTATATTTTTAGTACAGACAGGGTTTTGCCATGTTAGCCAGGCTGGTCTGAAATTCCTGGCCTCAAGTGATGCACCTATCTTGCCTTCCCAAAGTGCTGGAATTATAGGTGTGACACACTGCGCCCGGCCTAGCTTCTACTTTTAATCCTTTACAATGTGATGTATCAAGTAACCTATGGAAAACAACAGTGTATACTCATGAGAGAATGAAAGTCAAAAAGGCACATGATTTTTCATTATTATGAAAATTGTTTTGACCTCACAGATCCCCTAAAAGAATATGAAAGAGCAGAAAGAAAGACAAAAAGTGGAAAGTATATTTTATTTGCCTTGATTTATAATACCTGAGTCTGAAAAGAAGCTATGAAATATAGTAAGATATTTACAATGGTCCCTCAGTTTAGATGAGTTTGCTTCCTTTATTTGGAAATTAATGCTTCTACCTGCAATGTAAAAAGTTAATCTTTATCTTTTATGTAATCTGTGTAAATAGAATAGATTCTGTGCCTTTCAAGAAAAATGTTCTATGATTAAATTGTCTTTATTATGTTCTTATCTATGGGAAAAAATCCCATAGAACATATGCTTTTTACTTATGAAATAACTAACATTTTTACAATAGTGTTACCTTCTGTGTTTTTTTTTTCAAATGCTTTATTTTTACTTTGATTAATTAGGTAAAGAAGTATTATTTCTCAGGCAATCATGATCTCACCTAATCAACTCCACAACTCTTAATTTTGCCCTCTCAAAATCAGTTTCTAAATTAGATCAAATAAAAATTTCAGGGTTTTTTAAAAATTATTATACTTTAAGTTGTGGGGTACATGTGCAGATCATGCAGGATTGTTACATAGGTATACACATGCCATGGTCATTTGCTGCATTCATCTCCCCATCACCTACATTAGGTATTTCTCCTAATATTATCCTTCCCCAAACCCTGCTATCCCTCCGTAACTCCCCTATCCCCCAACAAGCCCCGAGGCTTGTGCGATGTTCCCTTCTCTGTGTCCTGTGTTCTCATTGTTCAACACCCACTTATGAGTGAGAACATGCGGTGTTTAATTTTTCTGTTCTTGTGTCAGTTTGCTGAGAATGATTGTTTCCAGCTTCATCTATGTCCCTACAAAGGACATGAACTCATCCTTTTTTATGACTGAGTAGTATTCCACGGTGTATATGTGCCACATTTTCCTTATCCAGTCTATCATTGATGGGCATTTGGGTTGGTTCCAAGTCTTTGCTATTGTAAACAGTGCTGCAATGAACATACGTGTACATGTGTCTTTATAACAGAATGATTTATAATCCTCTGGATATGCACCCATTAATGGGATTGCTGGGTCAAATGGTATTTCTATTTCCAAATCCTTGAGGAATTGCCACAATGTCTTCCACAATGGTTGAACTAATTTATATTCCCACGAACAGTGTAAAAGCATTCCTATTTCTCCACATCCTATCCAGCATCTGTTGTCTCCAGATTTTTTAATGATCGCCATTCTAACTGGCATGAGATGGTATCTCAATGTGGTTTTGATTTGCATTACTCAAATGACCAGTGATGAGCATTTTTTCATGTTTGTTGGCTGCATAAATGTCTTCTTTTGAAAAATGTTTATTCATATCCTTCACCCACTTTTGATGGGGTTGTTTGTTCTTTTCTTGTAAATTTGTTTAAGCTCTTTGGAGATTCTGGATATTAGCCCTTTTCAGATAGGAAGATTGCAAAAATTTTCTCCCATTCTGTTGGTTGCCGATTCACTCTAATTATAGTTTATTTTGCTGTGCAGAATCTCTTAAGTTTAATTAGATCTCATTTGTCTATTTTGGCTTTTGTTGCCATTGCTTTTGGTGTTTTAGTCATGAAGCCCTTGCCTATGTCTATGTCCTGAATGGTGTTGCACAGAGTCTCGCTCAGTCACCAGGCTGGAGGGCAGTGGCGCGATCTTGGCTCTCTGCAACCTCCACCTCCCTGGTTCAAGCAATTCTCTACCTCAGCCTCCTGAATAGCTGGGATTACAGGTTCGCATCACCACACCTGGCTAAGTTTTCTATTTTTAGTAGAGACGAGATTTCACCTGACCAAACAGGATAGTCTCCAACTCCTGACCTCATGATCCGCCTGCCTTGGCCTTCCAAAGTGCTAGGATTACAGGTGTGAGCCACCAGGATATATTTTATACCTAAAACTAAAACTTTTAACCTAAAACAAGTGAAATTTCTCAGTGGGCCTTTGGAAAATCACAGAGATTCATTATTTGACCTTATAAAAGGAGATGTGGGAAATAGTTGTTAGATGAAAAAAGATACTCAGCGTTTTTTGTTTTTGTTTTTGTTTTTGTTTTGTTTTGTTTCTTTTTTGGTTTTTTTTTTTTTTTTTTTTGGAGACAGGCTCACTCTGTCACCCAGGCTGGAGTGCAGTTGCACGATCTCGGCTCACTGCAACCTCCGCCTCCCAGGTTCAAGTGATTCTCATGCCTCAGCCTCCTGAGTAACTGGGATTACAGGCACGCACCACCAGGCCCGACTAATTTCTGTATTTAATAGTGACAGGGTTTCACCATGTCAGGCTAGTCTTGAACTCCTGACCTTGTGATCTACCCACCTTGGCCTCCTAAAGTGCTGAGATTATAAGCATGAGCCACCGTGCACAGCCTATAAGTTGTTTTAATAAAATGTTATAAATCAGAAATTTTGTGCTTTATGGGAAGTCCCTGGCCATTTTTTAGTGCTGTCCTTGTCCATTATGTTATTTTACTTTCAGGTATAACCCTGATCAAAACTGTTAAATGTTACTATTATGAAAGTTGCATGGGAATAATTGTTATACGTAAGTGACATTCAATCTTCCATAAGTTTGTTTTGATAAAATGCTATTAATATAAATATAAAACCCAGGTTTTCTGATGTGTATTTGTAAAATGCATGTCTCTTTCTTCTAAAGAAATATACACTCTTACCCAGATAAAATAGACATGTGGCTATTTCTGATAATCTAAAGGAAATATGGAAAATAAAGTAGCATAAGTTATTCTATGATAAAGGTGGTTTCATACCCATTTTATATAACAGAATCTATTTTATTTTTAAAATTTAGAAGGAATTTGGAATGAATGTATGACATATTCACTTATTTATAATCTTTACATTTCTTTCTTATTGCTCTTGCTATTATCTCTGCTGCCTTGTCAATGTGACTAACTATTCCTTCAAGATTCATTAGAGGTGCAATTTCCTCCAGTAAGCCATTCTCCACCCCTTTTAATATTGTGCCCATTATGTGCCATGAGTAACATTCTTTGCCTACCTCTGTCATAATTCTTGATGTTTAAATCACCTGTATACTTTTATCCTCTTTTGTATTGTAAAATCTTAAAAGATAGAGACCATATTTAAATAATCTCTAAATTCGCAGCATTTAATGCTATTCCTGGAACCTACATGATACTCGATATTGTTTACTGCATAAAAAATAATTAAATTACTAGGTACATAGTGGGATACCTAGGCCTATTGGAATTACAAAGATAAATAAAATGTAGTTCCTATTCTATTCCAACAATAGATTATTTATCCTATGCATGGGTTAATTAATGGTTTGTGTACTTTCAAAAGATTTTTTTAAAAAACCTATAGAATCCATTATTTTTATTTTATGGACAAGAAGCAGAGGCTCAAATTAATAGTTACTTTTTTTTTTTTCAAGATTATACTGGTAAAAGCAGAGCTAAGGCTTGACTCCAACCCTCCTGATGCCTGTCCTGTGCTTCTCTACACTAAGCTGACCTATCCTTTAATGAAGAGCCTTCAATAATGGCTATGCATTAAAAAATAAACTAATATAACTAACTTTGAAAGGATGATGAATCAGAAATGTTTCTTCTTAATCTTTTAAATACAGCACATTGCAGAATCCTTGAGGTGACTTTAGATTTATTTCTTCAAATTTCCATCATTCATCAAAACTTTTTGTATACTTTTTCTTTATTATTATAGTAAATGTCTTTGAACAGAGCTGAAAAGTTGCAAGTTATAAAACCCACTTATAATCTCCACTTTTTGAATGTTTATGTTCTTAAGAAGTTGCCAAAACCTAACCCTTCATTTCCTCCCTGTACCCCACTAAATATTTGTATTAGTCAGGGTTCTCTTAGAGGGACAGAACTAATAGGATATATGAGAGCCAGTCCAAGTCCTAAAACTGAAGAACTTGGAGTCTGATGTTCAAGGACAGGAAGCATCCAGCAGGAGAGAAAGATGTCGACTGGGAGGCTAGACCAGTCTCACCTTTGTACGTTTTTCTGCCTGCTTTATATTTGCTGGTAGCTGATTAGATTGTCCCCATCAGATTAAGGGTGGGTCTGCCTTCCCCAGACCACTGACTCAAATGTTATTCTCTTTTGGCAGCACCCACACAGACACACCCGGGATGAATACTTTGTATCCCTCAATCCAATCATGTTGACACTCAGTATTAACTATCACAATATTTTTTTTTGGCAACTGTCTTACTTTTAGGAACATCAAAATAATTATTTTCCAGCTATATTGGTCAAATCCAGAGTTAAAATAATACTATAATAGAGTCAATTTCTAGAGAACCTCAAAGAAAATTTTTTAATTTATTAATTGATATTTGTATCGAAATTGTCTTTAAAATGTTGACAATAGGTTGCTTTGTTTTTCAAGATTCGAGCAAGTAAAACAAAGAGCTTCATTGGCCCAAGGGTGTACAAGAGAACTGACAGAATGAAGATTAAAAAAGAATTAAATAATGGCGACTTTGTTAGAATGTGTTGTGATTCTTTTGAAAGAAAGAAACTCATTTGGGTACATGAAAAAGAAATTTAAAAAATGTGAAGCAAATTTTTTAAAATATGAAGGAGCAAAAACAATCAGCTGAAACAAGTCAAATAAGTCTTAGGTTAAACAAAATAACTGTGCAGTACAAAATTGGAGTTTTAATAGACTATAATAAATGAGAGTTGGCGGTATCACTACTTGGGTCACCAGAGGCAGAGAAAGAAACTAATTTTTATTGAACACTCCTAATGTGCCAACCATTGTGGTAAACAAATTACATGCTTCATCTGATTTTATCCAACTAAAATTTAAAGATTTTTATAAAACCAATCTGTACATGAAATTGCTGCTTATAGAAAATTTTACTACAAATCATATTAAAGCTATAATATTACTGAAATAATTAAACTCTTGTGATTTTTTTTTTTTTTTTTTTTTTTTTAGACACGGTCTCGCTCTGAAAATGGCGCAATGATGGCTCAGTGCAGCCCCAACCCTCTGGGCTCAAGCAACCCTCCCATCTCAGCCTCCTGAGTAGCTGGGACCACAGGCACATGCCACCACATCCGGGTAATTTTTAATTTTTTTGTAGAGATGGGAAGGTCTCATTATGTTGCCTAGGCTGGTCTCCTACCATCGAGTAATCCTCCCACCTTGGCCTCCCAAGGTGCTAGGATTACAACCGTGAGCCACCAAACTCTGCCCTCTCATGATTTTTTTTTTTTTTTTAACCACGCATCCTTCCTAGGCCACAATGACAATGATTAAAAATCATGAAAGGATCTCTTTAAGTAAAATCTAATTGAATATGGAGCAAGTCACTTCTGTCAAACATTTAATTTTATTGTGGTGACTACTAGGCTAAGTTATATATCTCATTACCAAGTATTTTGAAAAGGAGGAAAAGATATTTATGTGAACTTGATTATATGACTATATGCCTCCTGTATGGATCAGTGATGTCATTAATTTTTTTTTTTTTTTTGGGGGGGACGGAGTTTCCCTCTTGTTACCCAGGCTGGAGTGCAATGGCGCGATCTCGGCTCACCGCAACCTCCGCCTCCTGGGTTCAGGCGATTCTCCTGCCTCAGCCTCCTGAGTAGCTGGGATTACAGGCACACGCCACCATGCCCAGCTAATTTTTTGTATTTTTAGTAGAGATGGGGTTTCACCGTGTTGACCAGGATGGTCTCGATCTTTTGACCTCGTGATCCACCCGCCTCAGCCTCCCAAAGTGCTGGGATTACAGGCTTGAGCCACCGCGCCCGGCCAGTGATGTCATTAATTAATCCCCTGATTTGTAAAATTATCATAATCAACTAAGCTACAAGCGATAAAATGTTTGATTAAAGCAGACTGAGTATAGTCTGAGTGTAGCCTCCTTTAACCAATAAGCACTCAAAATCTAGATCTTGTTCCAACTCTGTTGTATAATAAAGATCTAGTGCTTAAATGAGACAAGAGGTATCATGATTTGGAAGTTTCTTAAGTTTTCAAAAAGGTTCAGTCATATCCAGACCTCAGCATCACACAATATACCTTTGAAACAAACCTGCACACGTACCTCCCAATTCATAAATAAAAGTTGAAAAAGGAAAGAAAAGTCTGAATTGTATTAGTTTGTTTCAGTCCTCTTTAATTTTTACTATCATACAGCAACACAACAGAATATAGCATAACACTGTTCTTAAATGTCAGATGCATGGCTATATCACTTAAAACAAGTTCATTCAAAGATATTCATTAAGCACTTACTATGTGCAAGTCCCTCTGCTATGCACAGATGCGCTAGACAGTTTACAGTGTAAAGGAAACACGCAAATATGACTCAAACATATTTTTATAAATTGTGATAAAGAAGAGAGCCATGTAAGAGAGCAGGTGATGTGTAGCTGGGGTGTGGACCAACTTTAGATTTAAAGGTTAGGGAAAGCTGCTGGGCAGAAGTGATATTTAAGCTGAGGCTTGAAAAATAAGGAGCCAACCAGGAGAATACAGAGGGAATAACCTTCCAAACAAGGTGAATAGATTGTGAGCAGGCCATTAGGGAAGGGGTTTTGCTTGTTTGAACAAAAAAATGAAAAAAGGACAGTATGTGTAGAGTATAATACGCAAAGGAGCTGGCAGAGAGATCAACAAACCCTACAGGTCATGGGAAGAAGTTTGATTTGTATTCCTTGAGAGTTGAGCAAATGGCAAATGTGGCAACATATTCAGATGGCTTTTAATTGTCTTAAAAATTATGATTTCCAGATTAGACCATACACACAACACATCCTTGAATGATTAAGCTAACCCCAAGTGTATTTTTCATGGGAATAACTCCTTTAAAAAAATTTTTTTTAGAGACCCGTTCTTGCTGTGTTGCCCAGGCTAGAATGCAGTGATCCTATGGTAGCAACCTCGAACTCCTGGGCTCAAGGAATATTCCTGCCTCAGCCTCCCAAAGTGCTGTGCTTACAGGTGTGAGCCACTTCCCCGGCCCTGTTCATGGGAATAATTCTTTTTAAAACTAAAATGTTAATTTTATTAAAGTAATGCCATATGCACAGATTTTTAAAAATAGTATACTGAAAAAGTCCTATCTCTATTTCTGATTCTCACTACTGAAGGACAATAACTAAACAATTTTCACTATTCCCTATGGTGTTTATTACCATGTTTCCATATAACATGCTTGTATTGCTATATCTTGATTGTTCAGCTTTAATCTATTGACAGTTTTATTATAAAAGGTGACAATTTGGCTCTCTTATATACCCATGAATATGTACTGTCTTTCCTTTCAGAATATTGATATCACAACTTTTGGTGAAGTCAATCTTTAGTGATTTTATTATTATGACTTTGTAAACATTGTTCAGAGTTTATGTATTTGAGTATGAATGACATTTTCTTCCCTATAAAAATTTTGTCATGTTTAATTTTTATTGACTCAGGATTTTATCTATGGATCTATCACTCATTCTCAAACAGATCTTCCTAAAAGATCTGTACATCTTCCCTTCGTATATTCAGATACATCAGGTTATTCATAGAAATGTGAAATCACTTTCAATAAGCAAGGTGTTGGCAAGGCTGCTTTCTTCTGGAGGCTCTACTGAAGAATCTTTTTTCTTGTTCTTTAGGTCTTTAAGGCTGCCTGCACACTTTGGTTCATGGACCCTTCCTCCATCGTCAAAACATATTACTCCAACTTCTGGTTGAGTTTTTACATCTTACTTTGGTCCTCCTGTTACAAAGGCCATTAATATTACATTAGCCCCACCCAGATGATCCAGGATCATCTGCCCATCTCATGATCCTTAATTTAATGCCATCTGCAAAGTCCCTTTTACCATGTTAGGTAACATATTCATAGGTCCATGGATTAGGACACCCTTGGGTGGGAGTTGGGGAGGACATTATTCAGCCTACCACAGCTGGAAATTATTTTCCCTCAGAACTAGTCTTCCAGAGTCTAGGGATACAATTGAAGAATTTGCAATTAATATTATTTGCAATCATTTCCATATTACCTGTTTTTTCTCTCTGGAACCTTTTAGAATCTTCTCTTTATTCCATCTTCTGAAATTTCACTGTCATGTGGACCTTTTCTATCTGCATTCTCATTTGTATTAGTCCGTTCTTGCATTGCTATGAAGAACTACCTGAGACTGGTTAATTTATAAAGAAGAGAGATTTAACTGGTTCTTGGTTCCACAGGCTGTACAGTAAGCATGGCTCAGGAGGCCTAAGGAAACTTAACAACCATGGCAGAAGGCAAAAAAGAAGGAGGTATGTATGTCTTGCATGGCTGGAGCAAGAGGATCTAATTCCTTCTTTTTATTTTTTTTATCTTTTATTTTATTATTTATTTATTTTGAGATGGAGTCTTGCTCTTGTTGGCCAGGCTGGAGTGCAATGGAGAGATCTTGGCTCACTGAAACCTCTGCTTCACAGGTTCAAGCCATTCTCCTGCCTCAGCCTCCCCAGTAGCTGGGATTACAGGTGCCCACCACCATGCCCAGCTAATTTTTGTATTTTTAGTAGAGATGGGATTTTATCATGTTGGCCAGGCTGGTCTCAAACTCCTGACCTCAGGTGATCCACCTGTTTCAGCCTCCCAAAGTGCTAGGATTACAGGCCTGAGCCACCGCACAAGCCCAATCTAATTTTTTCTTGAGTTTGACTTTCAATCAATTCTCCTTTTTTCAGCTTTCCATTTACCCTGTACCTCAGAGGTATCCAGTACTTCTAAGAACTGAGCCCATCACCACCAGCCTTAGATTTCAGCTTTCTCCAATTATGTTGGTTTAGCACTCATCTCATGTATTGTGTTCCAGCCTCCAAATTTTTGTTGACTTTAGTTGTTTGCTGTTCTGTATCTTTTTTAGAGGGAGTCTTGCCCTGTCATACCCAGGCTGAAGTGCAGTGGTGCAATCTCAGCTCACTGCAACCTCCACCTCCCAGGTTCAAGCAATCTTACTACCTCAGCCTCCCAAGTAGCTGGGATTACAAGTGTGTGCCACCATGCCTGGCTAATTTTTGTGTTTTTGGTAAAGATGATGTTTCACCATGTTGTCCAGGCTGTTCTTGAACTCCTGACCTCAAGTGATCCACCCTCCTGATCCAGCTTACAGATGTGAGCTACCGTGCCTGGCCCCTTCTGCATTTTTTTTAGACATGAGGTCTTGCTGTGTTGACCAGGCTGAGGTGCAGTGGCTATTCACAGATGTATTAACACACTACAGCCTCTTAACTCCTGGACTTAAGTGATCCTCCTGCCTCAGCCTCCAGAGTAGCTGGGACTACAGGTCCTATGCCCAGCATCCTTCTGCATTTATATTACATTTGTCCTTCTGCACCTTACAAATTTTTTTTACTGTTACTTTAGTGGAAACTCAT